GGGGCTGGCTGCAGCCGGGAGGCTCCAAACAGCTGCTGCCTCCCCAGCCCCAACGCATGCCAAGGAAAATGACCTCGCATGCCATGCTCAGCAAGTGTCGGGGGTTGCCAACCCCTGGTCTAGGCCATCCCACTGAGGTTACAACATAATCCAGCTTTTGGGGAGATGTTACGGAGCAGGGGTTCAATTCATTATTGGACATAATGAACTTTCCAGGGATACCTGCGGAACTAAGTGAGATGAGGCTGTGGGGGGTGTCTTGTTGCTAGAGGCTATACCTTTTCCTGGAGCTCTCTGGAGCGCTCACAGGGAGGGCAGTGGGAAGCATGAAGAAAAGCAACAAGTGTATGCAGCACTTCACTCATCATTCAATACCTTCCACTACCCAAAGTGGCCCCTCTCCACTAATGGAACAAAAAGGGAGCATCTTCCCTAAGCATTTTCCCCTCTATTGTCCGACTGCTTGAGACACAGCTTCAGCATCTACATTAGATATTATCTTCAAACAACAAATGCAAAACAACCAGAATGCTGCACTATGTTTTCCAGCTAGTCTTCATTAGTAGAAGGATTTCATTTAATCTCTTGCCAGATGGTTTTTTGAGATTAGGGGACTCTTAACTGTTGGTGATTTTTTTTCATTGAAAAATAGCTGCTCACTGAAGGATTTCTTTTTTGTTTACAAGTCGGCATTTTCATTAAGCAATTGATGTTTTGATTAGCCCTCAGCTCCTAATGGTAGTTCACATATGTTTTTGGATTTAATATATTCAGATATCTAGCTACATGTGAAAGAGGACATTCTGACTGTGGAGAGTACCATGCAGTAACTGCTTTTGTATCAGAGCTATTGAGGAAAAAATATTGAGGGAACTTTCTAGTTACCTTTCTCACAGTGAGGTCCATAAAATCCATCTGGACATTCACACACATGCCTTTCATTGCAAAAACCTCCATTTCTGCACCCTCCTGGGCATTCAGCTTCATAAAAAATATAACATCATTAATCAGACATGAACATTTTCAGTTATAATGCCACTTCCCACCATACCAATACATTCTATTTACAGACCAGGGAAAAATATATAGCAAAAATTATCAAAATTGAGACAATTATCAAAATTCATTGGCCAAGTAGGAAAATTCTGACTTAGATGAAAGCTCAGCTAAAAAATTCCACATAGGAAATCAACATTTTATCTACAAATACAATTGGCATTATAAAATTAGTTACACTCATGTAAGTATGATTTATGCTTGACACTGATATTCTAGTCCTCTGTGTTGTTCTATGGGGTAAGGAATAACGTAGAATCCAATAGTGTATATAGGAATAAACAGTTAGTCAGTACGTAACCTGGAGCATGAGTGCTATGCTTCTTGTGAGAAATGCCACTTACTCATCAGGACAAGCTTCAGTTTCTGGGTTGATTTAATGTATGGCTGGAGGCATTAGGTGTATCGCATTAACCACTATACATTAATCTAATTAATATTAAGATGACAATGTCATGGATGCAAATGAAGGAATCATTTTCCAGGCTGGATTCCTGGACAATGATCACATATCATCATCCAACCGTCACTCGCATCCCAAATATCTACCACATACTGTTAGGCATTTGGCAGCATTGGCTAGGTTGTATAGGGAAGAGAAATACATCTGGGTATCATCAGCATTCTAAAACATCCTATACCATTGAGCAGGAGGCAGCACAAATTAGAACCCTCTGGGACCACACAAAAATAAGCCCTCAGGGCTGAAGAGCAATTGCTCAAAGATCTCTTAGATAAGAGTGAAGCCACAGAGGAGTGACCCTGTCTACTTTCATTAAAGCAAGCCAACAATGTCTTGTGATCAGTGCTACCAAGGGCAGCACACAGCTCTAACAAAATAAGGACGGTCATCTGATCTTTATTCATTACCGAGAAGGGATTAACTACCTGTGCAATCTTTTTCACTATACCCAGGTCAGTTCTCAGAAGGGTAAGTATTAAAGAAGTCTATAGCTACTCTGAGACGTGTCACATCATAACATTATCAGCACCCTTAACTCAAATTGGAAGATTCTGAATGATAGTTGGCCAGAGAGAGAAACGGTGTGTCTGAAAAATCATTCCTTAATTGCTAAAGTCTGTCAACAGTGGTCCCAGTTCTCTGCTGGCCCTGAATGCCTTTACCAAAAAATGCAAGGACACCTCAGTCAGATTCAGGGAAGATGTACCACCTCCTTTTGGTCCAGTCAATCTCCTGAATAGCATTAAATTGAGTTTGAAGTCTAAATATTTACAGAGTTTACAAAGACTATTTTAATTTTGCTGTGAACAGTTGAATACATATAAATGCGGATGCAGCCCATGGGAATGCTGAAAACTGATTCTGAATAATTTTTAGAAAGTGTTGTGCAATTCCCCCACCTAATATTTTAGTCAAGTGGTGTGTGTATGATCAGCTGGAAACATACAGATTTACCCTTAGATAAGCTTCCTTATTGAAATCATAAGAAAGGGCTAAATAGAACTACGGGTAAGTTTTTTAAATTATTGACAATATTCTTTCCTCACTTACAAAACTAAAACACTTTGAAGTCAATAGGAACTTTGGGTGAACTGGCGAGTAGAGAAAGTGGAAAAAATTCTACTCTGAGTTTTACTATTGTGTAGTAGTGAAATTTGAGGCCCTCAAGCAAAAGCAAGCAAACTGGAAAAGAAGTTAAATTAAAATATACTATCTACATAAACTGTCAATGTATGAAATAGAATGTATGGTTTTAAATGTGAAGCTGTTTGCAATAGTAATAATAAGGGTAAAGGCTTTTTGTCTTTCTTTGTTCCAGCATTATATTCTAGGATTTTTTTCTGGGAATGTTTTTCCCTTTGTATACAATGCAGAGCTGCTATTCATTACAGAGAATATATGCTTAAACAAATACCATTTCAAATAGAGAAATAGAAAAACATTATTTTTTGTGTGGCCACCTCTTAGCCACAACAAAGCCTCCCCTTTCCACAGAATTGCTCCTTGGTTTTCCCTACTTCCTTTAGTGGGGGCCCTTTCTGACTAGCTAGGAATAGCTGGAAACAATGACCCAGGGCCCAGGCAGCAGCAGATATGAATGCCTTGGCTTTATGACATATGTCACGGGATCTTCTCTACTCCCATAAAGGAGTTCTTTTAAAGAAAACAAAAACAGTGTCTTTTATGACACCATTACAGAAACAGACTACCAGTGAGAACATTTCAATTTCTTCCAATATCCATCAGAAATTTTGCAGGATCCATTTCAATAAACTAAGCACAAGAAGAAGCTTACCCTCATATAACCAAATATAAGCTGGAAGACACTGGCATGATAGACACTTACATGCCCCTAAGAGTACTGTCTCCTGTTTTGTGACCAAGCCTCATAGTCAGGCTCAAGGAGTGGAAGACTAGATGACTATTTAGTCACAGAATCCCCCAGGAGTAAGATGGGTCTTGTCACACACGACACTTAGTATGTGATAAATCTTGGAATGTCATGCAATTAATGTTAGAACGTGTCCTGAGCAGGCTCATGATAATGTTTACTACAAACCCTAACATGCACAGCTTGTACTTTGTCACCAGAGGGCTAGCAAGCAGGCATCACAGCATACCATGCTAGAGTGAATTTTCCCCAATTTTATGATGGCAGCCAAAAACAGATTAGTATAGAGCAAAGCACTGAATGACTGCCCATCTTGCTGAGGGCACCAGTGCCAATCCCACTTTGACCAACTGTCCCAAGGACAATCCCAGGAATCTCCAGAGACCTTATGGAGATGATGAGTGGTGGAACTGAGTGAATCCTTGCCTTGGCTTCTCTAATCCACAGGCACTTGATGATCTTGTGGCACAAGCTCCTGGTCCTGGTGAGGTGCTACTTTGAAGACCATGATGCTGCCATTGGCATCATGCTGGCCCACTTGCAGGAGGGACAACATGATGCTGCACAAGCCAGGGTGTTGCAGGCCTAGTATCAAATGCCACCTTGTTGCTGCTGGACACTGCTGGTGGTCTTGGACTGGTGGGAGCAACTTGTGCTTGATAACTGGGATGATGAGCAGCAGTGGCAGAACTTTAGGATGTTCCATGGCACATGTGGACCTTTACACCGAGCTGGCTCCTTGCTGCAGTGACAAGACACTGAGCACTGGCACCCCATGTCTGTCAAGAGATGCATAGCCTTGGTGATTTGGAAGTTGGCAAAACACTGATAGCCTCTGTTCCATCACCAACCATGGGTGGACAACAGCAACAATAGTCGTGCATGGAATATATGATGTCAGACTTGAAGGAGCCAGGCCTCAGTTCATCTGGCTTGGGGACCCACAGGAAGTCATTGCTGGGTTTGAACAGATGGGCTCTCCGAACCACATGGGCACCAGCAGTGGGATCCACATACCCATTCTGTGCCCCCCTCAATGTACCTCAGGTTACATAACTTGCAAGGGGGGTCTTTTCTGTTATACTCCAGGGAGTCATGTACCTCCAGGGTAACTTCACTAACATCAATGTTGGGTGGTTGGGCCGCAATACCTGCATATTAAGGAACCCTGGTTTCTGGTGATGGTCAAGCTAGAGTTCACTGCTAGGGCTCCCACCATGAATTTGGCTGCCTGTTACTCCCTTGATTATAGGGGACCTAGCCTATCTGCCGCTCCCCTGGTTCATAAAGCTATACAGCAGCCAGCTGAACCATAAAGAAAGAGTTTTTCAAATACTGGCTGAGCAGCTTCCAGATGGTGGTGGTGTATGTCTTTGGGCACCTAAAGGTGTGCTGGAGGTCCCTATGGGTTCAACTTGAACTCAGGCTGAGGACCATTCCTAGCTTTGTGGCCACTGTATGCATCCTTGACAATATATGCAAGGTGAGAGGAGAAGCCTTCCTGGAAATTAGGCCAGCTTTGGACCGATGCACATCAAGGAGAGCCCCTGGCGCACTGGATGGTACCCAGAAGAGCTCCTGGCTGAACATCCCAGACGGAACCGCCTCCAGGCTGTTCTGATCGGAGAAGCCTTGGCCAACTCCTTTCTGGGACAACGTTCTGCCAGATGGAAGGGGGGCACAGGGGCCCTCTAAGTGATTATCAATCCTTCATTCACCATGCTGTACCTTTAATGTGCTTTTCCAAAACATCTCAGTAAATATCTTTCACATTAAATTTTTTCCTTCATGCTTCCTGTTGTGAAGGATTGGAGCAGGGCAGGGTGGGGGACCTGGAGAGGCAGAAAAAAGATTGGGCATGCTGGAAAACTGATGGGGGAACTGGGGTCCTGCACTGGGAGTTTGCAAGAGCTGTCTGGGAGGGGGAGACTCAGGAACTGGGTCCTGAGCTGGGAGTTCATGAAGGTTGGTTGGGAGGTGGGGAACAGAGGCTGGGTGGGTTGGGGACAGCACACAAAGGACAAATTTCATAACTGTGAAAGCTTTATTTCTTCAAATACACTTAAAATAAGCACTTGAAAACAAAAACCATCTCACAAGCAACTGTGATAAGCTTAAATTAACACTATGCAAACTGAGATGAGTGGGGTACTTTTAGGTCCACCCAAATCCTTTATCTACAGGTCTCCTTGCTGGCTGTGAGGGTCCCTGGGAGTGCTGTGGCATAGGAGTATGCTCCCACCCCAGTCAAAGCTGGATGGCTCCATAGAGCTTGATAGCTGCATGGGTAGATCCAATTCCACACTGCTGAGGAGCTGGGTGGGGGCAAACAGTGCCAGGGTACATCCTCCTGTCTCATCACTGCAGTTCAAGTACCTTTTTGTGGTGCTGCCCCCCTGCTGCTGGGGTGCTGTCACCTCCTGTTGTTTCAGAAAAGGGAAAGACTGCCCCTGCCATAGCATTTGGTAGACCTGCTGCCCAGACCTCCACTCCCTGCTTGGCACCCAACCATGCCAGCAGGTACATGGTTCTGACTGGCCAGGGTGGTTGGAGTACAGGGTGGTATGCACAGTGTGCCTAGTCAGCCTCTCCTTGCTCCACTGGCCATTTTACGGCAGTTGCTGGCCAGGGAAGGGTGTGGGAGGATGTGTGGGAGGCAGCCAGTCTCCATGGTAGCCCAGGCTGGTGTTAGACTGGTGCCATTGCCTCCGGTTGGGTGGGGGAGGGTAGGTGATTTTAGGTGTTTGCAGACTCATAGTCATGACATAGACATACTCTGCAGGAGCAGTAGCCATCCTGTCCAGGAAGGACTACATGAGTCTGCAACAGACTGGAGGGATGCATAGATCTGGAGGGCCAATTCCTGGACCATCTCTGAGCCTCTTGCCATCTCTGCATCTGTTCCAGGAACTGGTGGTCCTAAGCCACGAAAGTCTGCTGAATACTTCTTAGCAGCTCCTCTGACCAATCATGCTGGTGCTCATAGGCAGCAAGCCAGCTCTCAGTGGCATCAGCTCACCATGCAAAGGATTCCATGAACTCCTCCAGCATCTGATCTTGCTGGTCCTACTGGTGTTTTGGCTACAGGATATTGTCTTAAAGCAGCATCAGTGCTGGAACCTCCAGAGCTCTCCCAGGCCAGAGCAAACTCAGAGGACTGAACAAAATAGAAGCGACTTTGAGTGTACTTCTGTAGTTAGCAGATAATTTGTGTCAATCCTGGAGTTCCCACACATGTAGTCTTGACGGGTGCACAGACAACACTACACTGACAGCAGGGCAGACCCTGAAATTGCTACCAGCTTCTAAGATATTATGAGGGAAAGCCAGTGTGTTTTACTCTCCCGCTCACTTCCATTAGTAAGCAGGATGAGAGGAGAACTGTACCATGGTAAGCAATCTCTCAGATATCTACTCTCAGCTAGCTACCGTCTCCCCCAAACTCTTCCCTCCCCAGAGTTGCCCACAGATGGGTGGGGATCACCCATTAGGAAGACACCCTCCTACTACATTATCTTGTCTGTCCCTGTCTCAGCACATCACTTCTCTGGTTGATATCTCCCTGGCAAGAATGTTTTGGCAGCACAGAGCGGAGCTTTTTGAGCTTGCAGGTGGCAACCCTACAAGATAGGCCCTGCTACTTCTGCAAGCTTTTGTGCCAGCACCTGTCCTAGAGATATGTAAGAGCATAACTATTTATGATGGCTCCCTGGGAAAAGTAGTGATTCCATGGAATGTACACTGAGACTTTGGAAACTTTCTACTTCTGTATTACTGCTTCATAGCTCTGCCAGGCATCCTAGCAGTGAAAGCAGTGATCATTCTCATATTGAACTAGGATAATCTTGCCCTCCTCCACACCCTACAAAGCTCTCTTGAAGAATGATGCCCCATCCTGTGCTCTGCCTGAATGCTCTGAGCCCACTGTCACTGCAAACCCAAGCTGTGAAGGGGACCTGGAATCCCAAAAGATGACAACTTTCACTGCCACCCAAAGTAGCTCCACCTAGTGTCTGTGGGGGGACAGAAGCAGCTGAAGTGACAGTGATGACAGTGTTCCCTAGTAGACTCATCTGCACCTGGCCACCACAGAGGAGCATATGGGACTACCATCAGCCATACGAACAGTGCCTTTGGAGGGTGAGGATGCAGGTTGACCTGGGGTTATGGTCTATTCTACATGTTCTCCTCTCAGAGATTTACCCCCTCAGCCACCCCTCTGATTGTGTTCATGTGCACCTAAATAAATGCTTTAAACGGTGCATTTCTATGAGTTAGTGCCCCAAAATGCTGTCCAAGGGTTGGACCCCGGTATCGCAGGGGGGAGCTCTGCTAAGCCCACCCTAGATACTGGCATGCAGATTTCAACCAGCATCTACAAATATGTGTGGACCAGGGCGAAGTTGGCCCCTTGAAGCCCATCAAAGTACCCCAGTGCATGTGGGATGTCCAGAAACAGGGAAGGGGCAGGCTGTGAGCTGCCATTTCTAAGTAGGGTGGTCTGTGGGATGAGGCAGGTAGACTGGGTTTCCACTTATCAGAGAGGGAGGGTGGGTAGCTCCCTACCACTGTGCACAGCCTCCAGGGGAGGAATGGGGTGGCATGTACTCCCCACATAATTGTGCATGGGACAGATGCGGGCTGCTTACTGTGAGCTCAGGGCTCTCCACTTTGCTGTCTTTCTCTTGGGAGCCCCATGCTGGCTACATGGCCCCCTGCCTGCCTGGCAGCAGTGGGGGCAGCAAGTTATGCCTCCCACTGCCAGGTAGGCATGGGGCATGTGGCCAGCACGGGGACCCCAGGGCAAAGGCAGCAGAGTGGAGAGCCCTGAGCCGGGAGGAGAGGCAAGCATGTGCCACCCCACCCCCAGCCTGGCTGGGTCCATTCAACCTCCCCTGTGGGGCATGAAGGCCCACCCCACCCTTGGCAGCAACAGCACCAGGAAGGGAAGTGCCCCTCCCCCTGCTGGAGTCCAGCTCCTGGGACTTGGAGCCTGGCTGCGGGGGAGAAGTGACACGATACATTCACGTTTATAATGGACTATGGGGGGCCTCCAATTTTTTGTCTGCCCAGGGCCCCAATAAATCTTAATCCTCCACTGCTCCTCTCCCCAGTTTGTGATGAGTCTTGCTATGACTCCAGTTCACAACCCTTCTGCAGGGTTGGGGAATGTCTGGGGAAGACATTCTCTGATTTTGTTTGGTTCAGTACATCAAGTTAGGTGACTGTTGTTGACACTGGAGTGTTCAAGCAAAAGTGGCAGGCCTTGGTAAACCCTGAGGGCTTCAGTGGGTGCGTGGGGATGTGTTATAGGCATTGGAGTCATACCTCCTCCAAGTAGAGGTTGTTGCCTTGATACCCGTTCCCACCAGGCTGTAGAGTTCTGCAGGGTAGATAGACTGGCCCCCGGAGCAGGAGGAATGGGGGGGCTGGGAGTTGTGCATCTTGGGATGCTGGAGGACTTCAAATAGCTTGTATTATCACCATGGAACAGGTCATCAGTAGCTGAACACATGTTCCTTAATAAAATACTCCTCACCAGAAAAGTCATAAGTTTGCTACAATTGAGCACATTTGGCATGTTATACTGCTTGAATACATAGCTGCTCACATTTTAAGTGCATGTAATGTATACTAAGTGTCTTGTGTGGCATGGCCCTATAATGTATACCAGGAGTCCATAGCACCAAACTAAAGCTAAAATTGCATAACTGGAAAATGATAATGACAATGATGATGACAATGGCAATGATAATAGTATGTAAAACATGGCTTGGGTGAAAGGTACTAAGAGATTGGCTAGAAAGGGTTTCAAACCCAGAAAAACAGTATTTCCCCAATCTATGTACATATCAGAATTATACAGTCTCTGTTAGTTAGGTCATGACCACACTACTTCCAAACTTGATTAAATGTAATAGCTTTATATGTAATTAAAATTAAAAGTTGTAAAAGCATTTTAAACAGTGTTACATTTGCATCAAATAGACTCCTTGGTGTATAAGATATATAATTTAAGTTTCCTTAAGCTTCCCATTTTCTCTTCTGCTTCTCTTCCCTTTTCATACCCCCTCCACCATTTCTCTCAGCTAATTGGTAACAGTGAATCTTCAAAGGAGAAGACCAGTGCTGTTCTGCTGTTTAGCTGCAGTAGAGTTTCAAAAAATAAACAGCCCTTCCTCCCTCTGCTTGTTCTTTGAAGCCTTACTACTGCCAATTGGCTAACAGAAAAGGAGTGAGAAAAAGCATGAAGGATAAGGGAATTAAATTTAAATAAGTGTGTACAAGACAATTTTTCCACAATATGAAAAATGTTTAAGAGCCTTTTGATTAGATTACTAGCAAATCACAGAGTACCAAAATAACCAAGAAGTCCTTACTTTCACTTCACTGCTACAATCCCAGTAACATTTTCATTATTGCCATGCCTACCTTTGTTTCAAATAAGACAGAAGTAACTTAAAAAGCACAAGCTAATGGTATGTCATGAGGCCATGATTTCATAATTACCTTGCTGGCATGTTTTAAAGAAGATGGCATTTTGGGGAGTTTGGAGAATTATATTGCCTTCTGAATTCATTATGATCACATTCACTTCAAATGCTGCTACTCCATCTTGCTTTCCGAGGCAAGGAAATCCAACCTGGACAACTAAAGGGAAACAAATTATAATTATATAATAATTTTATCAAGATAATATACATTTTACAATGTTTAATACAAACATTGAAATAGAGAAAGCATATAAAACCATGATATCAGTTTGGTATCTATTTGTTAACACTGGGAATGAATAGCATATACAGACTTTTGTCAACAAATACAGTAAATAATGTCCTGGAAGCAGAGACAAGACATCAAGACTCCTTCTTCCAAGTGGAGTGCCATAACTATAAAGTTACAGAGGCAGGCTCTCTCTTGCCTATTCTTGTCTTGACCCCATGAATTTTCCATTCCTTTCTGCACAATGGGCCAGCTTCAACAGGAAGACAAGAAGGTGCTTCTACAGTCTATTTTGTAGTCTGTAGTTAGGGCACTCATTTGGAACATGCAAGATATGGGTTTGAATTTCCTCAGTCTGAGGAAAAAGCAGAATCAAGGTCTCTGACTGCCTGAACGAGTGCTCTAACCACTTGGTTATTCTGCAAAAGGTTGATGGCTCTATTGCCACCAATTAGTTAGATGCCTATCCTCAGAAAATGGACTATGTGCCCTGGATCCCAAATGAACAGAGGTCCCTAGGTTATGGAAAAGGTCAGCAGCATTTCCTTTTGTTCCAGGCACCTTTAGTCCATAGGCTAGATAAGGGTTATGCATGCCTTATGTTTTTGGTGTTGCATCACCTAAGACAGGGGTGCCCAATCTGTGTTATGGGTGCCACAAGTAGCAAGGGAAACCTTGGTGTGTGGCACATGGCAGATAGGGGAGGAGACAGCAGCACAGTGGCAGATATGGCAGGGAGAAGAAAGCAAAAAAGCAGAGCAGTGGCTTGGTTAGGGAGTACAGGACAGGGAGCTGAAAGCTGAGCTGCAGAGCGGGGTAAGGAAAAGGCATCAGGGTGACACTTCAGAAGGGTGGATGGCTAATTTGTGGTATGCCTGCCAAAAAGGTTGGTCCCTGCTGACCTAAGAGAAGGCACCCAGATGACCAGTCTGTATTTGTCCTTTAGAAGCTTTATTTTCAGAATTAACTTCGTACTTTGGAGCCTAAATCCTATTGAGATTCCAGTTCCTGTTCTCTGCACCCCTCCCCACACCGCTTTTGAAAATGGATCTTAGATGTTTTTGAAAAGGTTATCCTAGCTGTATTCTGCTGGTGTACATATTAGCATTAATGTCTGAATAAAGCTCTGACTTTAATAAAAGCTTGTTATGTGAAGTAGTGGTACGACTGAATACTTAGTATACACAATACTTGATGCAACTATTTAAAATGATTAGAGAGACGTCACTTTGTCAGAGCTTCTTAAGTGTTCTAAATGTAGTGGATAGATGGAGATTGGCTCTTTAAGAAAAGTATGCAAACACTTTTGAAGTACAAAGAGTCTAAGTAAATAATTAAAGCCATTAAATCTGGAGTATTTTAATGAGGAGGCAGGCCTGGAACCTCAAAGTCTTGGAATGCTGTTCTGTGATTGTCACAACTGATCTTAAATAATCTTCAGATGAAACAATTATCTTTTTTCTTCAATACTGGCTCCTTCTTGTTCTATAAATTGGCTCCAGCTAATAGAACTTAGTCTACTCATTTCTCTTAAAACTTGTCTGAGATTTCAGAACATAATATTGAACTTGCAGCTTTGCATCATTTTTGTTTGCCATAAAAATATTTTTGCAAGCCAAGGTGGGCAATATTTCTTGATTTTTTTTTTTTGCTTCAGTAAAGCACAGCAACATTTAATTTGCAATTCATTTTCTGTATCTGACAGATCCAAGATTGCCAAAAGTCAGTTGCAATTTGAATTATAAAATCCAATACAATGCTCCATTTGAGGAGGTTTTTATATTGACCTTTTAACAAGACTGTTAAAAAAGCACATGCAATAAGGCAAGGGCAGCCAGTTATTTCAGGTGCAGGGCTGTTTACTGAGTTTTGGCAAGCCATTGAGGGCCACATGACAGGCAGCCAGGGGCAGATAAATATTAATTTTCTAAATTTTTTAGGGGCCCTGCGGGCCAGATAGAATGGCCTGGAGGGCCGCAACCAGCCCGTGGGCTGCATTTTGCCCGCCCCTGCAATAAGGGGTAAGGTCTTGCTGTGAATTAAAAAGATGTAACTGTGGTGAACAATTTAAGGCACTGAAGAGTACAAAAATGTAGTAAATAATGCAATGCTCACAAAAATGGTTTTAAGACAAGTATCACTTGATGGTTTCCTGAACAGATGGCTTAAAAAGTGTTTCCCCAACTGTGATATGGAAGGCCATGGCTAATGGGCTATGAATTGTGCCATCCCTCATTTTCTACTGAAGGTTTGATGATAAAGGAGGACTGGTGGCCTCTAAAAAATAAGGAGAGTTGACAGTGGTCCATTGGTCCAAAAAGTCTGGCTTAGAGAAAGAGAACAGATGTAAAATTTAGAAATAATACTGTGGGCTGACCTTCCAGTCTGACTTTCTTTTTATCACAGACCATTGAATTTCTCCCAGTTTCTGTTATGTTAAGCCCAAGAACTTGTCTGTCAAAACATTCCTTCCAGAATGGCATCCATTCTTGATTTCAAGATATTAGTGGAAAACCCACCCTCTCCCTAGCAGTACATTCACATGGACAGTCATCTTCACTATTCAAAATTTGTGACATTTCTAATTAGAATGTGTCTGGCTTCATTTCCTACTATTGGATTTTGATAGAGCTCTCTCTGATAAATTAAAGAACCCTTTAGAAAGAACTCTTTAGTATCCTTTGTTTTCTCCATGTAAAGATACCTAAATGCTAGTTACCTCTCACTCTTATTTTTGATGAGGAACAACTTGAGCTCTATAAGGTTCTTGCTGTAATCTCTCTCTCTGAATTTTTTTACTGTACAGTGGGATAGTGGATATAACAAAACCAATTGTTCTGAAAGTGGGGGAAGAATGCAGGGGTGGGATAAGTACAATGGCTTAAGGGAGTTAGGTTCCCAAATCTCATTAATATTCAAGAAGAGATGTGTGCCTAACTCCCTTTGTCTCCTTTGAAAATTTGGTCTCATTTGATTTCAACAAGAACCATACTATTAAAAAACAATGTTATGTTTGGCTAGATTACTTCTGAGGACACCAGCTAATCTTCACCTACTCTACTTGCTTGTTACTTGCCTCCCCCATACTCTCCACCCTCATTTCCCTTTCCCCGCTCTAGTGCAAAATAGCGACAGACAAGAAGCTGAATACTATTTTGTAGACTATATTCAGTCATAATTAGTTATTTTAGGTCAGTTTGCAGATCCATTTAAAATACTAGCAGCTCACTGCTAAATACCGTATGTACTTCAAAAATGATTACCCATTACTGTTAAATGTCATATACATTGTGCACAAAGCATGATTTAACTAACAGTTACTAAACACTGCACACACAAGTACAGTTGCTTACCATATGGAAACACAGCACACATGTCCATATTAGTTTTGTAACTCAGTTAACAGAACTACAAAAAGGGTAAGCTTATTTTCAGTTTAGTCAGTCCTTTCTTTGTGATAGTAACCATGGCTCTTTCCTGAACTATGAAAGCTCATCTCTGTTGCCCATACAATGGAGGGCCATACATCCTCCTAAAGATAGTCAGGGACCTGCATTTTGATTCAACCTTTCACAGGACGTAGAAGTGAGGGCAGGGTGGCATTTTATAAGGGTGAAGATGCATATTACACTTAGACCATACCAAATCTGCAGAATGTTAAATGGTGTTAAAGTTAGAATATTCCGTGAGTGGTTGCACATTAAGGGTTAATACTGTTTTTGCCTGCACAGATCTGACTTGCCACTAGGGCTATGTACGGATAGTCAAAAAGCCCCAGGCTGAATTGATTTAATTTTTGCAGGTTAGTCTAGGCTGCATAGATGGAACTGATAAGCAAGTGGACAGACATTCACTTTTGATTCCGGAAATGCAGCCACATGCCTGCAGTGGCTCAGGCCAGATGCCAGGTGTGCTAGAGCACACCTCCCTGCTCAGCTGGAGTAGACAGTTTAGGTCAAGGCAAGTCTGCCCACCTTGTGAGGGAGGGTTTGCAGGGGAAATGCAAAGCATTCTGGGATGCTGGGGGACTGTGAGTTAACCTGAATATGGAAGGGATCTGGGACAGAAGTTTAATGAACTGATTTGACCTAAATCAGTTAAGTCTGCTACTACATCCATCCAGGTTTACCTTAAACCAGTTTCAGCCATTTTGAAAGCAGTTTATATGCACTGAACTTCTGTTGTGTTACAGATGTTAACCGGTTTTTGATCACTTATACTGGTTTATGTATCATTTCTGTCCCTAGCCATTAGGGCTGATGAACAGGAGTGTAGCTAGGAGCCAGAATACTTGGGTTCTATTCCTGCTCTGGGGCCTGGAAGCTGTACATCCTGGGATGCTGTAGACTTGCAACTTACTCATTTTATCTCTGTGGAGCAAACTGAAGTTAACCTAACATGAGCTAGGTAGCATGGCCCAAAGTTAACATTTGGCTAAAGGAGTGTAACTTTGAGATGCTCAGAGGGCACTTAGCATGAAATAATGAGCTTTAACATGTGGGCACTTGGGACTCCTATAGATGTGCAGAGAGCTTGCTCTGATGCATTAGAAATCCAGCGCATTAGAGCAGACATGATTAATCGAGTCTGCTGGAGCACAGAAATTGATGTGTTCTGGCAGCCTTCTGCACCACATGTATCAGTCTCCCCGTGAATCCCCAAACTGAAAAATTGGGGTTCTTTGAAATAAAACATGTTCAGTGAGCTTTAGCACAAAGCTCCCCACCACCATTTTTTCAGCATGGGGACACTGATCTACATGATGCGGGAGTGCTTTTAATTAGTGCAGCTCACTAATTAAAGTGCCCAGTGCCATGTCCCAAAGCACATGTAAAAATGCCCTTGTATTTTAAGTGCTCTTAGTATGGTCTAAATGTAACATATAACTTAATGCTCAGGCTAGGGACAGACATTATACATAAACCAGT